CATAATCTTACAAGAGAGTAAGGGGTAAGGGGATTGTTCCAGCAGATGGAATTTCATGTGTAGGAAAGAACATGTATTCTAGAAATTACGAGAACAGTGCCAGGCAAAGACTAGATCACACAGGGTCTTATGGGGTAAGGTAAGGAGTTTGTATCTTATTTAATTCACAAGAAGTCAGTGAAGGTTTTTAAACAGGACGACTGAAAGGATATGAATTATATTCTTTAAAATGTGCAGAGAATCCACCGGAAGGGGAAAAACCAATTAGGAGGCTATTGAGTAGTCGAATCAGAAATTCTAATGGTTTACATTAGAATGAGAGTATTAATAGTTGAAGAGGTGAGAAATGGACAGATGTGAGAGACGTTTAGGAGGTAAACTGACAGATGGAATGGATGTAGAAAGGAATTAAAGAGGGCAACCAGGTTTCCGATTAAAGCATCTTGGTGGGTAGAAGTGCCATTTCTTAAGAAGGAAGAACAAGCAGAGAGGAGGAGCAAATCAAGAATGACATTTTAGCTACTTCAGGTTGGAGAGATCTGTGAGATACTCAAGTGGAGATACCAAGTCAAATTTGTTATAAACTTGGAAGAGGGGTTTGAGACACAGATATCAATTTGGAAATTATAATCATTGGGTTATATTCAAGGCCTTGAAACAAAGATTAGATCACTGAGGGAAGGGAGTATAGAGAGGCAAAGTCCCAGAACAGAGCCCAGAGAAACTCTAGTTTTGGGGGAATGAGGTAAAGAGTGGCCAAAGAGGAGAAAACTCAGAAAACTGTAATGCCACAGAAATCCTGAAAGAGGCTGTTTAAGGAAGAGTAATGTGGGTAGCTGCTGCTGAAAGATCAAGAAAACTGAGAATAGAAAGAGACTGATGGCTTTGACCACATGGTGGTCATTGGGGACCATAATCGGAGCAAGGGCACCCAAAATAAGAAGTGGTGGTCAGAGTGTGGAATTCTTAAGATTTTTTAATCTTGAGATTTTGGGAGTGATGCATATTTTCATTAAGAAAGGTATAGGATCCTTGGCATGGTCCTGAGAGTAAGTGGATGAGGTAGGGTAGATGGCAAATCATTGGAAATGTAGAAGTTAAGAAACAAAAATGTTTGTGTGTTCAATGGCAAAATTGTCAACAATTTGAGGTGGAGAGAAAGTGTAGTGAAACTGTGGTTGCCAAGCAGTCTTGAACGTACTCATGACCACAAATTTTTAATCAACTTAGTCAACCAATTTTCAATATTTTTATCTGCTTCATTTAGTGGCAAGGAAAAAGTAATAGAATGCAATTCAACTAGAGTTGGGGTTTTGCCTAGTAGATATGATAGACAGCTAAGAGGAGAAAGGGAATGGAGTGACTTTAACGTGAGTAGGTATTGTTTTCCTATTGCTGCTGTAACAAATCACCACAAACTTTGTGGCTTAAAATACAGACTTACACTATTAGAGTTGCAGAGGTCGGAAGTATCATTGAGCTGAAATCAAGGTGTGGGCAGAGCTGTATTCCTTCTGGAGACTCTAGAGGAGAATCTGTTTCTTTGACTTTTCCAGCTTCTACAGCCTGCCCACATTCACTGGCTTATAGTTCCGAACTTCCTCCATCTTTAAAGCCAGCGACATCAGGCCAAGTCTTTCTCATGCTGCCAACTCTTTGGTTCTCTCTTCTAATTCCCTCTCCCACTTTTAAGGACGCTTGTGATTGCATTGGGCCTATCTGGCTAATCCAGAATAATCTCCCTATCCTAAAGTCAACTGATTAGCAACATTAACTCTATCTGCAACCTTAATTCCCCTCTGCCAGGTAACCTAACAGACCCACAGGGTTCTGGGGATTAGGACATGGGCATCTTTGGGGAGGCCAGCATTCTGCCTGTGATAATAACAACACATAATGGATGGAATTTATGTAAGTAGGCAAATGAAGAAGATGGTAGGAAGGTAGAGTGAAAAAGTGGTTAGGTCAGCAGATTGGGGAAATAATCTGATGGAATTGAAACATTGTAGCAGTAGAGAAAAAAATTTCTAAATGGTGCCATTTCTGGTAATGGAAAATGGAAAAGGCTAGTGTAGGACCATGGGGGTAAGCATCTGATGTAAGGTTGGAGAAAAGATCAGATGAGGAGGTCATGGAAGTGGAATTCCAGGGCGTGGGATGAGTCATCCCTGTGGATGTTAAAGTCACCAAGAATGATGAACAAACTTCAGTGTAGGGAAGAAGACTGAGGATGCAAGGAAAGGCATAAACCCCACAAGCTAGATGAGCCTGTAAGTGAAAAGGAGCCTGTGGTGGTGCAGACTTGCCTAGAATTGGAAGAATGGAGCCCTGACATGCAACTCCACTCCCAGGGGCTGAGCTCAAAGTCACAGAGTCTGTGCAATGACCCCTTGGGATGTGGGGGTCAAGGTCAAATCCCAAGAGAGACCAGCATTCCAGACTGTCCCCCACCCCTCTCGTGGCTTCCACGAGCAGCAAGAAGTGCTGGACTTGAGGACTGTGGGCTCTCCCCCGCCTGCAGGGAGATGGGACTCTTGTGCCAGAGTAGGCACAGAGTAGGCACCCACAGCCTACTCTGGCTGTGACACAGTAGACTAGGAGGCAAGCAAGGGACCAACTCACTCCTTGTATGTGGGGGACGGGGGCAGGGTCTCCCCTGAGGAGTGAGATCCCTCATTGTCCTCAGCCTCACAGCAGAATCACACTAGGTTGCAAAAGCAGAAATCTCACACGAGGCCAGGGAGACGATCCCAAGAGAGAAAGGAAGGGGGGATAGCAAGGCCCTTTGTAGACGGTCAAGCCCTAGGCAGGTAGAAGAGGAACACCATTCATGGTGATAGTGATTCCAAAGCCCTTTGCTTCATTTAGCAAACATTTATCAAACACTGACCTGGTGCAGAGCCCTGTGGCAGGCACTGTGGGTGTTACAAACTTGAGGCAGGCCTGGACGTTCACCCTAAAGGGCCTGTGCTTTCTTAGAGGAGCTAAACCATGTCCATGCATATCACTGTCATTCAGGATCGTGTCTGGTGAGGGTGGTGGGGGACAGATATAGAAAAGTAGGCTGCCTGGAGGCGATGAGTTTTGAGCCAGCCTATAAAGGAGATCTTTGGGCTGGTCATCCCAACATTAAGTGGAAATCTCTGAGGGTTGTTGTGGCTTTAGGTCTCTCCCTCTGGCCCACTTTGACCCTGATGGTGGGTCTGCAAATGGAAAGGACTTGGCCACTTCTGTTGACTGATAGACGGAGGTGGGGTGGGGAAAGAGAGCACCTTTCCCTAAGAAAATCTGAAATCCTGGGTTGTGCCAACTACCTGACTTGGCAAAGATCAGATGTCATTGGTGGGATAGCTGGAAATAAAGGAAAGGTAGCAACTACACACCAGAGATAAGGGAATGTGACATCCTGGATGGGTCTGCATCTGCAGGCAACAGGCTCAGGCAGATAACCAAGGCTATGGAGATTGTTCCATGGACTTCTGGCTCACGTACTTGCCATGAAGAGAGCCCCAATGCAGGAGCTGGGAGGACACTCTCCCTCAGTTTCACTTCAGGTAGTTTCACTTCACTTCTTGAAAGCACACCTGCTCAGCTTTTTCCTTTCTCTTCTGTTTGCTGGTGCTAACTAGTTTCCCCTCCCAGGGACTTGGAAACAACCGTTAAGATAGCTTACTGCCACTGCAACAGAACCATCTCCTCCAGGATCTGCCTCACTCCTTGACAACAACTTGCTCCATAACAAGCCCAGTGCCCAGTCCTATCTCCCTGCAGAAAGAAGCAGCTACTGCTGTGCACTAGAGACCTCAAAATTGACAGCAGTCATCACATTGTGTTTCACACTCATTGATAAGTGGACAAGGAAACTGAAGAGGGAATGATTTAGTATAAACTGGAGTCTCGGCAAATATATTGGAACGTTGACACTATGCAGCTGGGAGGGCTCAGCTTCCAGAGGTCTGAGCTAACCTCCACCCCAAAGAGGGGCATAGGAATGATGGGGGAAGAGGTACTAGGATGTAAACCATGAGCAGTCTGTCATCTTTGGATTTCATCAGTCAAACAAGCAAGAGGTACAAATAACAGTTGTAAGGAGGTGTGGCATTGGTACATGGAAGACACTCGATACATTTGGTAAATGAATAAATAAATGGTTTAATGAATAAGGTTGATCACTTTAGGTAGGAGGTGAAGAAGATCGGAGGGCACTGACCAGGCAAATACAGAAAAGAATGGTGGTACAGGCCAGGCACGGTGGCTCACGCCTGTAATCCCAGCACTTTGGAAGGCTGAGGCTGGCAGATCATGAGGTCAGGAGATTGAGACCATCCTGGCTAACACAGTGAAACCCAGTCTCTACTAAAAATACAAAAAAAAAAAAAAAAAATAGCCAGGCATGGTGGCGGGCACCTGTAGCCCCAGCTACTCGGGAGACTGAGGCAGGAGAATGGCGTGAACCTGGGAGGTGGAGCTTGCAGTGAGCCGAGATCACGCCACTGCACTCCAGCCTGGGCGACAAAGCAAGACTCTGTCTCAAAAAAAAAAAAAAAAAAAAAAAAAAATTCGTGGTACAAAGAGGAGTATGTGTCCTATGGAAGGCAGGAAACCTACTTAGTGATAGTAATTACATAATAGTCTCCATATTGCTTCCGGGCCTTGCAGAACCTAAAATTTTTCCTCTCTGCCCTTTACGGAAGTTTCCCCAATCCAGGGTGCCTCCACATTGGACCACTATAGTGTTGCTAATAATCGTAAAATTAAAAGGACAGGACTTGTGTGGACCTAAAGGCTAGCCCTGGACACTAAGGTCTCAAAGAAAAGGTGGAGTTCTGGATTCTGAGTTGTCCTAGAGCTTAAGGGCCTTGATCTTCATTGGACGCAGAGCATGTCAATCTGAAGTTTTCAGCAAATGAGCTTAGAGCTCACTGAGAACCCCTGGTTGACCCTCCCCGGTCCCGCCCCCTGTCACTTGCCAACCGGAATCTTTCCCGCCTTGTCTAAGTCCTCTCAGGCCAGCCTTGGAAGGAGGCTCCTGGGATTGGCTCCCTGCCCTTCCCACCTTAGGGTGTCCTCTGAGACAGACTCTTATTCCCTCAGTAAGGAGACAGACTCTTATTCTCTCAGCAGCCAGACCCTCACCTCACCTCAGCCACAACCACCTCAGAGGCCACCGACTTCACCATCGTCGCCTCAGCCTAGTCGCCACCCCAGTTGAGGCACTGACTGGCGTCATGTCTGCCACAGGGGATCAAGACCCGATCCAAGAGGACCGGAAGGCCCCAGTGAGCCAGGAGAGAGCACAGGCCGAGGCGGGAGGTGACCGGGAGGCTGGTGACTCTGGCCCCGACAGTGGCGACATGGTGCCCGTGGCTGAGGTGGCCGGAGTCACAGGGCCCACGAGAGGCCTCGGGGAGGAGGAGGGTGAGCAGGCGGCAGGCTTGGCCGCAGCCCCTGTGGTCAGGAACCCCGAGGAAGACTCAGAGATCAGGATAGTAGTGGAGATGGTGGAGGAGGAGGAGGAGGAGGAAGAGGAGGAGGAGGAAGAGGAGGAGGAGGAGGAGGAGGAGGAGGAAGAGAGGAATGAGGCGGGCAACTTTGACTTGGTCGCGGCCACCCGTCGCTACCCCATAATAGGCTTTCGCGTGGAGTTTCTGGACATGGTCCACTCCCTTCTCCACCGCATCTATCACAACGACCACATCCTGATCGGGATGCGTGGCGGCCGCCTGATGCGGAGGCCCCGCACTGCGGCGCCCAGTGGCTCAAATGAGCCCGCACTGTTGCTGGTGCGTGAGAGGCTGGGCGTGGGGGCCATGGGCCCTGAGGGCGAGGGCCTGGGCCTGCTCCAGGAGGCCGCGTCGGTCCCAGAACCTGAGGTGCCAGCAGACCAGGCTGAGATGACCAGGGAGCCTGCAGAAGAGTCCGCAGAGGAGGCCTCAGAGGAGCACGCAGAGGAGGCCGCAGAGGAGGAGCTTGCAGAGGAGGCCGCAGAGGAACCGGCCACAGAGGAGGCTGCTGCTCCCGAGGGTGAGGAACGGGCTACCTGCAGTGGCGGGGAGGCAGGGACCCGTGCATCCGAGGGTTCCAGGCAGGGCCGTGGTGCGCGCATAGCTGGTGAAGAGGGTGGTGAAGCGGGGGTCGGGGCCTCGGGTGGTGAAGTTTGGGTCAGGGCCCTCCTGAAACTTAAGGCCAAATGTGTCCCAATGAGTCGAAGCCCAATTCTCTAACGACCTCTATGATTTTGAGAAAACATGCTGCCCTCTACCAACCTGTATTTGATAGGAGATCTGAGATCATCGATGCCATTTGGGGGGCCCACAGATGAATGGCCGGGTAGATAGGAGTTCAAGAGGGAGGTCGGCAGGAAACAGAAGGGACGCCGGAAAGAAAAGAACAGGCAAATGGCAGACATCCTTTTTGGTTCATGGCTTTTCAAAGTGTAAAGATTCTTAGAAAGTTGATCCCCAAATGATGAAGTGATATATTGGCCCTTGGTAAAAATGAAACATTCAGGGGGGTGAGGAACCAATGAGCTTCACCATAGAATTTGTCTTTTGAGGTAACAAATATTTTCCCAACCAAGTTCTGACCAAAACACTTGGAATGAGATCAGACACAATGATTCTAATCTCTTCTTCTCCAAAGAACTAGAAATAATCAGCAGCTTTGGGTGGGATATTTACTGGACAAAAGGGAAATAGTGTCACTGTGGAAATGATCAAGCAGCAGCAACGTGAGGTCCATGGAACTGTTGTGAAAACCAGTAGGAAGATGGCCAGCTATTCCTTCCTTAGTTAAGTCTATCCTCCTGCTTCTCCTGAGGGTGGAGTACGGGATGCCGCTGCTAGTTATAAATTGGGCTATATTTTCTGCGAATGTCTGGTCCCAACGTCTCTATTATTCTCCACTAAAGAAGTCACTAAATATCAGCATGAAAAGTGGGATGAAAAGGCCCAAGATTCTGCAGGCGAGGAAGAGAAAGAACAAGAAAAAGAGAAGGATGAGAAAAACAAGGTGAAGAACTCCAAAGGGACCTAGACGCAGCAGAGCGGAAGCTGAGAAAATCCAGGTATCTGTGTATAGCTTTGAGGATCACTCAACTATTCCTGGCATTTACCTGTTACTGACAGTTTTATTTAAAAAAAAAATCCCAGTAAATTAATTAAGAAAATGTTTTAGTTTAAAACTTCAATTTAACTTACTTAAAATGTTACTAGAATATTCATGTACCTAGTAATATGAACTGCAGTGTGTTCTGAAATATACTTCATGGCTACTCATTTGTTCATGTTGAGGTCTTTTGTCCTCTAGCTGCAGGACTACTAACAAGTGTCAAATGTATCAGACCTACTACCTAAGACCAATATTTGTGTAGAAAACAGTTGCCAGACGCAGCATCTAACTTTGTTGGGCCACACATTAGTTGGGCCTTCATTACTTAGCCACAGAAATGCAGGCTCCCATAGTAACTAGGAGGCAACTCAATGCCTTTTACAAAGTGACTACTTACAAATAGCAAAAAGCTAAGAATTTCAAGTAGGACCACATTTAATGACTAATACCTAAATATTTGTTTAGCTATATATCTTTGTATTTTATGTGACAAATGAAAAGAATGTGTGTAATTAAGTGTTAAGGCATATCTGTCTTCGAGTATATTTAAATGGTTAATATTTTTTCTTTTTTTTTTTGCATTTTCACAGCTGTATATTTCATAACAGCTTCTTTCTCATATGGTAGATATGGAAACCAAGGGTCTGGGAGGGTAAGGGAGTATCATTTGTGGAACTAGCACAGGCTGTTAAAGCTCGAGAGATTTATTTAAATCCCAGAATTGCCTCTCATGTAAAAATAACAACAACAAGCTTTTCTGGTGCTAGGGAGACAAGGTTGGTGTGATCATTTGACTGGAACCATCAGTTCCACAAGCACCCTGATATCTAAGCTTGCGAGTTACAAAAGGAAAAGGTGTTCTTCTCTGCTTGTTTAAGATATAGCACACAAATGTTGCAGATATACACAGAGCTGGCCATTTTCTTCTATTTAGAAAGTCACTGGTGCTGCTTAATGTACCATTGTTTATTTTTTTCTCATTTCATTCTGTAGTTGGGAAGAATAGTAAGAAGATGAAGAAAGAAGACTCTGCTGTTCATTGTTTTTATTTTATTTTATTCAGATGCCTGCGAGAATTTTAACACATATCATTCCAAAGTTCTTTACCTCAAACGTGGTATCTAGTGACATCTAACTTTTATCTTTCACAAATATATTTGACAGTGTTTGTTCAAGTTAAAAATAAGAGTTTGTTTTAAATGAATAAATTGAAACATGGGGAGATTTTTCAATAAATAATTCTGACTCAAATCTCTCTTTTACCTCTTTGTTTTGGCCCACCATACCTTCACTGAAAGATATTACTTTCCACCATTTGGTAAGATTGTTTTAAATTATTTTACTGCAGCCAAAAGTCAATTAAAATGTCAAGTTTAAAACCATTTTTGAAAAGAGAGAGATGGGGCTCAAGTCTTTAGAGCTGTGCTGTCTACTACCTTAGTCACTAGTAACGTTGTGGCCGCTGAGCGCTTGTAATATGGCTAGTCTTATTAATATGTCTGTAAGTGTGAAAATAATATTGCATATCTTACTAATGATTTTCATACTGATTACATGTTGAGATGATAATACTTGAATTAAAATGAAATATTAAAGTTTTTGTTGGTTTCTTTTTATTTTCTAATGTGGCTACTAGAACATTTAGAATTACCCATGTAGATCACATTATATGTCTATTGGACAATACTGCTCTAGAGCATGGTTTTGAAGAAAACTTCATGGATGGCCCAGGTTACCTAGAAGCCACATGGTATTGCTGAGCTTGGGCCCAGACTTTGATTTGGAGCAGTGGTTCTCAAAGTTTGGCCCCCAAGCAGCGTCATCAGCATTACCTGGGAATTCTCAGACTCCACCCAAGACCTACGGAATCTGAAAATCTAGGGTGGAGTCAGCAATCTGTGTTTTAACAAGACCCCCAGGGACTTCTGATGAACACTAAGGTTTGAGAACCACTGGTTTCAGGCAACAGAGGAAGAAGTTCAGCACCTCCTGTAGAGCCAGGGTTAATTCACTGGCTCGGGGCTGTTTCAGGTAAACTGAAAGGGACAGCAAGGGATGGGCTGGGGAGGAGACTAGAATTCACAGGGGCTGAGGCCTAGGGGGAAAAATGCATAAAGAAAAAGTTGGGTCCAAAAGGATACAAACATGATACCATGTGTATGACTTCGAAGAAAACATACAAATGATCACCATAAATTGATTGTGGGTACATATAGAGAGACTAAAAGGTGTGCATGTAAGAGATGCATACAAGTGTAGCATACAGAAAGACAAGTACATTTGAGATGGTAGTTACCTCTCAGGGAAAGAAAGGGAGGGGCATTCTAGTAGAGAAGGCTCCACAGCAGGCATCAACTATATTTGTAATGTTACATTTCTTAAGCTGAATAGTAGATGCATGGATGTTTATAGTAATGTTTTCTACAATTTTGTGTAGGTGTGAAATATTTCTAAAGCGGGAGGGGAAAGGGGAGTAGTTCTTCCCACATCACTGGGGCAGGACTTACAGGAGGCTGAGAATTCTAGAACCCAACCTGGCCTTTGAGGTCATTATGAACGTACATTTGTCATGGAAGGAGATAAACCATTAAATAAAACATGCTATATTTGTTTATTTAAATATTTCAAATACTTAGACATATGGTATGTGGATCCCAAGTTGAACTCTTGTTCTAAACCCTGAACATGTTACAGATGAACCAGGGTCAATAGCTGGCCTATAACCCCTTTCCCTTTCTCTCTCCATGCCACTTTGTTACCTGAGCACAGTAGGGCCCCTTGCTTCTGAAAAGTGCTTGTTCCAGTAGCCCATCTTGCTATAGGACTTGGACTTTGTCCCTGACGCAGGTTAGAGTGCAACCACCAATCACCTTGTCTCTTCTGCTCCCCACCCCAACCACACCCCCTCTTTATTCTCCAGGTGTTCAAACCCAAAACCTCTTCAATGGCCCTTCTCCCCCATACCAAATATCAGTGCGCACCTGAAAGCCATCAGCTTGGTCAGGCACACCTGCGTGGACTCCCTTTATTCTCAGCACCACCTCTTAAGAACATTTTACTTCTCTGACAACCTTCAGCTCTGAATTGTCAATATCCTATTTGATTTCCCGTCCCATGTCACAGACAGAGATGGACTACAGAATAGGCTTTATTAAATTTATTTGCTTTGCATATATCATAAATCAAAAAAGCTAAAGAAGTAGAAAACTTGTCAGAATGTGCCTTTAGGCATTTATAAAGAACTTAATCTCTTCATTTAAAAACAGAGCTTTGTTGTTAACTGTGGAAAAGAAATTGTTATTGAAGAGTTCTCAGAGTGACAATAACTGAATACAGGTTCACTGTGAAAAAAAGAAGAGAGGTGTAACAGCTGTGTTGTTAATTGTGGAAAAGAAATTGTTATTGGAGAGTTCTCAGAGTGAGAATAACTGAATACAGGTTCACTGTGAAAAAAAGGAAGGGAGGTGTAACAGCTGTGTTGTTAATTGTGGAAAAGAAATTGTTATTGGAGAGTTCTCAGAGTGAGAATAACTGAATACAGGTTCATTGTGAAAAAGGGAAGGGAGATGTAACAGCTAATCTACCAGGAGTACCCAGATAAAGGGCATCTACCTTAATATATTGTTCACTATGGGAATACAAAGGAAATAAAATTCACTCAATCAAAATAGCATTATCAAAATGGCAAAGGCACGGTATCAGGAAAAATAGATGTTATATAGAGAAAATGCAACATTTAGCATGTAATTGTACTGTGTCACATTATACCAGCATCAGCAAAACCCAGCACCAAGTGTTTAGCTCCGACACCTCACTACCTCTCTGGATTTTTTTGCATGGGGCAGCACCCCACTCAGAATATAAAGGCACAGTCAGATGTCCAGGTCTTCATTTCTGTTTAAGCAAAGCAACACAGTGTAACAGAGGCAGACACAGTGATAACTATACTGAGAAGTCACTTCTGGGTCTCCTAGAAAAACGAGCTAGGTTTACCCCCCAGACATCCAAAGGGAGCTCTCCCTTAGTGTTTGGTGGGTTTGGGGGATGGAATGAAGGGAAAGACATAGAAAGGAAGATTTAACCAACTTCTAGTGAACCTAGATGAGATTCTAGGGTGGTCTGCATCTCAGAAAGCCAGCCAATTAAGGAACTGGCTCTGGGGGTAAAGGTGCCTACATCTTCATTCTTAGCTGAGGAGTTCTTAACGGAGGCTGTGCTACAAAAGAAAAAGACTGTGTGGCAAGATGGGAAGGGAGGCATCAACATTTGCAGGCTACTTGCCCCCACCCCTCATAGCTGACCATCCCTCTCATTCTCTTTCTCACTCTCCCTTTTTGGTCTTCCCTCTTCTCCATGGCTGGGAGATGAGTGGGTCACTGGAAGGTAGTGTCTCTCCAGCCTAGTAACTTTTGAGGTGTGTGCCCCTAGGAATGAGGGTGCGGAAAAGCTGATTTACTCACTTAACGCTTCCAGGTAGCAGAAAGTTCATTTCTCAGTGGCTTTGGGATTGCGCTCTTGCTTTGGGCTAAAACCTTGTGAAGCAAAGATAGCTGAGGGAAAAGGACAAGAAGCTACATGGAGTTCTCCACCTTAAGGCTGGAACCAGAGAGGAAGGAGTTCCAGTGGCCCCAGATGTGCATTGAGGCAGTAAGCTTGCCATATGCCTGATGGAAAGTACAGCTTTTGGCATCTGAAGAACTCTAATTTCAATAGGGTCTTCAGTGCTTAACAGTATATATGTGATAGACAGTGATTTCTGTGCGATCAGAGAGGGTCACGGTAGTATTGGGACAAGAAGCAAAACACTGATGGAGTCACTATCCAGAGGAGTAAGATAATTCCCAAGAAGCATTCTGCGTCATAGGGAGGTGCTCGCTGCAGCCAGGCCTGTGACAGGTTGATGTGAGGCATGTCCAAAGAGGGAGTTTTGTGTAAGTGCTCTGCGTGTTACTATCACCCAAGGAGAAAGCATCAGGGGCCCCCAGGGACACAGAGAAGATGTGTCAAGGGGTGATAGGCTGTGCAGAAATTTTCTTGGAGACCCAGAATTTTCACTTCCACCATCTCTTTTAGGAGTCTTTGCAAAGTTTGGAGCAACAACCAAATAATTGCAGCATCTATCTAGGCTCATAAAACCTAAAGGCCAATCTTTGGGTCAAATCATCTGAATGTTTCCATTCCAAAGTTAAAGATTTTGCAATTCTACAGCAGTGCAAATGTTTTCCATAGTTTTAATAGAGGAAATGCTGGGTTTCTGGGTGCTGGCAGTGGCTATATGGAAGGTTAAGCATTCATGGCATTTATTTCATTCAAATAATTATGTTTTAATTCACATTTCTAAGGCTATTTTGCTTAATAAATTCTTATTTTGCTTAATACATTCTTATTTTGCTTAATACTTATTTTGCTTAATAAAACTGGTCACAGTAAAAAGATCACTACATAGAATTAATACAGCTATTAGCAATTATCATTTAAAATGCTGATGCTTGGCCAGGCGCGGTGGCTCACACCTATAATCCCAGCACTTTGGGAGGCTGAGGTGGGCGGATTACAAGGTCAGGAGATCGAGACCATCCTGGCCAACATGGTGAAACCCCGTCTCTACTAAAAATACGAAAACAAAATTAGCCGGGCATGATGGCGGCTGCCTATAGTCCCAGCTACTGGGGAGGCTGAGGCGGGAGAATGGCGTGAACCCAGGAGGCGGAGCTTGCAGTGAGCGGAGATCGCGCCACTGCATTCCAGTCTGGGTAACACAGCGAGACTCCGTCTCAAAAAAATAAAAATTTTTAAAAAAATGCTGATGCTCCACACAAGGGCTCTTTATTGCATCATCTCTGCCATGTGGCTCCATGCTTTGGCTTTCTTCCTGGCCAGGGAGAACCAGACAGGCTCAACTGGCTCTACTGGCTTCTGGAACTTGGCTGGGAGAATTGAAGATCGTTTGATTTCTTTTTCCATGGCAGGCACTTGCAGTATCTTCTGAGCTTCAAATCCAACTGGAACCAAAGCAAATAACACACAAGCAATAAGGAATCCCAGAGATATTGGGGTATGTTGTTTATGGAATGCCAAAATGTTTCCTCCTTTCAGGCTTCCTCTGATCCCCCTGCTCTAGTGCTTTCTAAACCCTTCTCCCTTTGGTGCCAGACTTCTAAAAGTTAGGGCCTGTGTGATGCCATGTGTGATATGTCAAAGGTGTAAAATCAACATGGCTATAGCCACAGGGCCCTGGGCATGGGAAGGCCTGGGAGGTAATACCTGTGCCTATAACTGCCAATCTTTGGGTGGTTATTACTGGATTGTCTTACATCTTTGAACTGAGACCAGAGGGAAACATACTGTATCTGCTTAGTTTCTAAAATTTCAAATAAGGTAATGTTATTTGTGTTTGCCAATCCATGATTTCATGTGAAATGAATTGATTGATGACTCAATAGATGCACCCAGTAAAAGTTGATGGTAAATAATATTGTACTAACCCAACTACCCCAGCCAAGCAGACTACCTCCCTACTCCTAATTCCACTCCCTCCCTCATCCTGCTTATCGTCAATTGACTTAGTGACTTAGACTCAACCAGTGGTTCTCAA